AATTTCTTTCTAGTATTATCAACTCTTTTTAAATATATCTTAGAATCCAAACTGATACCTATCTTTTAATCTTTGAGAATAGTATTCAGTACATGTGATTAAAGAGATAGTTGAAGTATATCATTTTTATAATAAAATTCCAAACAATATATATAGAAATAAATACATTGTAAATTCCACAAAAAAATTGATGCTTATTCATTTAGGATAATTCAAAATTAAAAATAGAAATTATAAAAGAATAAGAGTGCCATACAAGATGTATCACCTGAGATCCTTAAAAAAATTCAATTTTATAGAGTTAATAGACAAAGATTCAATAATTTGGCTCAAGTCACCTGATTATTAAATTCATTAGAATTAGACCATTCTAAATGGTACTAAAAACTACAATGAGTCTTAGCAATAGTCTTATTTTATAGATACAAAATAAAACAAGATTATAGAATTGGCTTAGATAATATAGCAATAAGCAACAAAGCTAATGGGGTACTTAAAAGCCACTAATTTACTAAGTCACAACTCAAAGAATTCTATGTAGAACTCTTGCATCTATACATTCTTACTAAAGAGGCCTTTTTATAATGATTCACCTTAATACAAAGGCTATCTACAAGAGAGTGGTAGATGATTATGGGCCACAATGGCTATTGAATACTATACAACAATGAAACAATTGAAACCATCAAACATCTCTTTTAGAGATGTCTATACATTTTGATAATATGGAAGCATTATAATATCATTCATATTCATAGAGGTCTACAACCAGAAAGATATTACATAGACATCTTTTATTACTCACTCAAATTCAATAGCAAGGAAAAGATGAAAAAACTTGCTAATAGTATCAAGTTGTATAAAGACATATCATTGCTAGTCTTCTAAAATCTTTTAATATAGAATATATGAAAAATAAGATGAAACCATGACAGACACCACATTTCCTTCTACACATGTATAATTTTATATTATGCTTGAAAAACTATAATACAAGTAGACATAGAGGCATGGCAAGAGCTCCATAAATACACCTAAAGTTGAGAAACCTTAGACTAATAAATAACATTATTCTTTAAAATATGAATGGCACATAATAATTTTGAAATATGGATCCTATTTATATAGAAGATACTTCTATTGGTAGATTACTTATTCTAAGGACTGATGCTCTAAGAAGAAATATTTATCATTGTTGTCGTATTACGTGTGTTCTTGCTTGAAAATACATTAGGCATATAGCTGCAAAAAGTAAGTAGAAATGCAATAATAATCCTACAAAGTCTAATAGAATTTTAAAAAAACTTTAAGTAAACCTTAATAATCCTAATCAAACTTTGATCAATCTAATATAATTATAAAAGAAATTATAAAAGAAACACAAAAAAGTCCTAAACTAACCTCAAAAATAAATAATAAGAAATCTTAAAGAAATATAAAAATAAACCTTTAAAGAAATAATAATCTTAAATGAATAATAAAAATAAAAATCTTAAATAAATTCTAATCATATCTTAATTTAATTTTAATTAAAATCCTTATAAATTTTAATCAAATTTTATATTAAACTTTAATTAAAATCCTAATTTAATCTTAATTAAATCCTAAGTCAAATCCTAATGAAATCCTAATGAACCTCAAATCCTAGAAAAATCCTAAATCAAATCCTAAATAAATATTAATCATATTTTAAATATTAAACAAAGTCTTAACAATCCTATAGTAGATATAAACCTCAACAACTAATGATTGAGCCATTGATATCAACTAAAAATTTGCATACTTTTTAATATCTTATTTAGAAACAAATATAAGAAAGATAAAATTGATCGCACTTACCAATTGAGAGAAATCAAGATAAACTAATCATGTGTTGGGTGGCCTCCTACTCCAATCTAAATATTGAACTTCCAATGCCAATATTTCCTTCTTAAATTGTTGAATTGCTCTTAAATTTAATCTAAATATTTAAAATTAAATCTAATATTCATATTAAAAAAATTCACTTTCATCCAATTAACAGATTCCTAAAGACCTTAAAAACACTTACTAATCTTCAAACTCCAATTTTTGAAACTTCAATCCACAAAAACCTACATACTTCAATCTAATTATTTGATTGATTTCAAAATTTGCATACACATTTATAACTAGCACATCAATATATTTTCCAAATTTCACTCATATATACACCACAAAATTTAAAAAACTCTTATTTTTATAAATATATTTTTATTTCTCAAATCGTCATCCTACCAAGAATATTATTAATTTTTAAAATCCTTCAAAATCTCAATATTAATTTAAATGACATAAAATCAATGCCTAAATATCTCTCTTCTAAAGTGATCTCAAATCTCACTCTCCAATCTATAAAAAAATCCTAAAGTCGCCATTATGGTGTAGTTTTGTGCCTTGGGATCTGATATTGACTTTGGTTGACAACCAATCTTTTTTGGATATCAATTTTTGATAATTTGACGTAAGTTTTATTTTAACCTATTGTTAATTTTTTTTAAACATATCTATATTAATTTCTTATCTCATTTACTTTGATTTGGATCATTAATGCTATAGCAAAGTAAATGAAATTGTCTTCTACAAAATGCAATATTAAGACTAAAATTTTTACTATCTTTCTATTATTTATCCTTATTTTTTTACTACGTTTTTTTACTAGGTTTTTCTATAAAAACATCTATATTTTTATTTTTTACTATATAATTATATTACCATACAACACTGCCCTCAAAGAAGTTGAAGAAAACAAGGTCTTACATGTAGGGCCGTTAAGATCTCCAAACCCTCAAACTTTGATCTTTGGCATACAAATCCATGCAATAATTGGAAATACAATCAAAGATTTTATTACCAAAATAGTCTGGCTATACCTTCAATCTTTTAAAGAATATTTTGCAATGGAACAAAGACCAAAATAAACAATCAAGTGCAATGAATGAAAGACAAGACTATAGCAGATGAATTCCAAGAGCATACAAAGAATGGACAAAGAACTTTGAAAAGAAATAAAAATTTTATTTGATAAAATTGATAATCATCTACTTTACAAATGATCAGGTCAAGAAGACAATTGCAAGGCTCAGGAAAGAATGCTACTTCTTATGCTATAGAAGATGCTCTACCAAGTCTTAATCATATATGCTCATTGCATCTGAACATAACCATGCCTCAATTCCACCTTGCAGATCAATGCTAAAATAGCCACTACAAATATTTCAAATCATAATTTTTTTCAAGTTATTAGATAGTTCATTAGGTAGTAGGTCAATGTGGACAAGTCAATTAAATAATAGTATAAGGTGAGAGCAACATATAGCTAAGTTAGGTACCAATTTTGAAAGCTTAATTTAGATTATAAAAAAAGCTTGTTCCCTTGACGTCAACATCCTATTATTAAGTGAGAGATATCCTATTATAAGAATCATCCAATTTTATTATTTTTCATTCAACATGTTGTGTAGTGTATAGACCATTGGATTTTAATCTTGGTGGAGCTTTTTACTAAGATGGTAGAAGGCTTGTTTAGCATGCAAGAGATATGGAGAGTGATATCTCACTTCTCCAATCACCATATCTGATATTTTTATATTAATAGATTTTTATTTGTCTTTATATAAAAATTATTGTAATTATAATACTTTAGCATAGGTGACTAAAGAAGCATTTTTTTTTAATATATAGCTATGTTGATTGCCTTTCAAATTACAAATTATAATATTTAGAGGTATGATAGTTTAATGGATTATAATAAGATATCTTGTAAAAGAATTTATTAAGATTAATGGAATTGAATCAATATTAAAAAAATAATAAATAAATAAAATTCAATAGTATATATATCTTGTGAATATTTGTGGATTTGTTTCTACATGCAATGTATTTTGTAAAGACTTTAAGTTTAATAACAAATATAAAATATATATTTATTAATTATTTTATAATAAATAATAAATAATAAAAATTATTTAATAGTAGTAATAAGAATTTGAATGCCAATAATGGTCTTGAATATGAATTCAACAAAACGTGTTTATTTTTAAAGATGTAGTTTGAAAGATGCATGTATTGGAAGACAAATATGAAATTAATTAGTAGAATACAAAAAATTAATTCAAAAGATATTTGGTGGGAAGATGGATCAACAACCTTACAATTCTAATACTTTACTTTGGTGTTGGAATAATCTTTGGATGGCCAAAAGTATAATGGGTGGAAAGAGATATAAAAATGTATTTGCAGTATAAAGTTATTTTGTGTGATATTATTTTATTTGAAGAAATATATTATAATATAAAAAAAAGTTGCTAAAGTGACATCACAAAGTAAGCACATGACTATTATGAATGTTGCCACCATAGCTCTGGGGAAAGAGTACTGGGAGAGGCCATTGAGAGAGCGGGAGTTGAGGGACGAGCAAGAATTAACCTATTCGGGGTATTGCATTAATAATATGAGTAGTGTTGCTTTAGTAGTTCTCTATTGTAAATATGTATAATAAACATATATATGAAGGAATCAATTTTTCGTTTGTTAGTAGATTCATCCACCATAAAAACTCAAGAAAGTCCCATTACCAATCAATTAATTACACTGAAAGAATGAAATTGAATAGAACCTCACTAAGGATTGCTTCATTAGGAAGAAATACGGATTTTTTCCCACGTGCATGAGCGGGCTGCCCGAAATTCTTCATTATTAGGATTCAAACTGAGACGGCCGCAAACATGTCGGGAAAGGATGAGATTCTCCCTCATCCGGAAACTCACCATATCGATGCCAGGCTTTCCGAACCTGCTAAAGGACAGACCTGGGCATCATCGAACCTACACGGAATGGTGTCGGAATTCAGTTCGGACTACCTCTGTAGAGAAGGTAGATGTTCCGACCTACTGGTATCGGAAAGGTCTGGTACCGAGGCTGCGGCTAGCACGATGGGAGAGTTTAATCACCAGAGATTTTCCTTGCTAGTGGCGTCGACGATGGTTGGATTTTGGGGGGGGGGGGGATTACTAGCGGAAGGCAGGGCAATGGATTTGGCCCTCGAAATATGAAGCTCAGCAGGCTACGGTTAATTGTATTTCTGTTTTTGAGGGAATTTTCTATTGGAAATGGACAGTTCGCGGGGGATATTCCGCATTGGAGTAAGTTCATCTACGTCATATTCTCACTTGAAGACGTTTTCGAGAATCGCAATGTTCGAAACCCTATTGTTTGGAATGGTCGTCTGAAGCTGAGTGAAGATTCAAGAATTAGCTATAATTTGATACCTGTAGTCTTTCATGACATGAGATTATGCTTCATGCGTGCTTATTCGTTTTGATGAAAATTTGATTGTCCAATTTATGAGCTGTTAGTTTCTTGAATACGAATACTAGCATAACTGAGTACTTGTCGTGGGAATGCATATAGAGTCAGCAGCACTAAACTACGACGTTCAGGAAGAGTAAGTGCATTCCTTTTTTTCAAAACTCCTAAAAATTGGTTTGCTTACTGGTTAACAGGTGGTTCGGACATTAGCAGATGAAGTCTTCAAGATTGTTGGCCGCGACCCACTTACTGAGGTTTGTTCATCGAGATCTGTGTATCAATTCTTGAATCTCGAGTTTGCATTAATACGTTACCAAAAAGAAAAGATATCATAGCGACACAGATGATAAAACTTTTACAAGATGTTGGAATTTTTGTCACAAAGAAAATTTACCGCTGTGTTAGCTTAGTTTCCCAGCAAACTGCAGCTTTGTGAGAAATGGAGATGATTGGTAAGAGGTTAGAATTGAAGTAGTGTTGAACGAAGCGACTCTCTAGCCTAATACAGTTGCACTTCAGTTTTGAACTCATTGTAGAGAACCTCTACTTTGACATCCAGACCTTGTAATATTTTTCAAAGCTTCAGCGGGGGATTTCATTGTTGCAGTTGGAATTGCTTCAAGATTTGCAACTGTGACGAACTGTCTGTGCTTTTACTTATTCTTGCATTTAATTTCTCATCTTATGGAAGTGTCGTCGTGTTTGGTGGATTCATTTTGCAGTTAGTAATGCCTGAATGAGGATTATCATTCGGGAACCATTTCGACTTCGAACGGGATTCAGGAAGAGCATGAATCTGGAAGCATCGAAGGTCATGGCTCTTTTGTCGTCACCGTGTCTAGCTCCGTGGTGTGCTATAGATCACAACCACGGTTATCGAGAGAGAGGTATAACTTCGTCGTGGGCTCTTTCCAGGGGCTCTAGATTTTCCCTTGGAAAGACATTTGATGGCAGTGTACGTTCTCGATTCTTTGATAAGTTTGGAAAGGAGTGGGCTAGGTACTCCCAGTCCTTCGTCTGCAAAGGCTTACCTGAGAGGGCACCAATCTTCGAAACAAGTAGGGACAGAAGTTTACCAATTTCTTTTTCAAGTTGGATACGAAACGATCTTACTAGGGCTCATCTCAGAAGCCTTGCCAGGGTTTTGCGAGAAGATTTGCCACAAGGACCCAGTCACGACGATTCGATGACTGTGGAGGGGGGCATCACAATCCAAGGTGGCCAGTTGCTAGTCTATGGACAACCCCTGCTGAGGAATGTGCCTTCCAACGTGACCTTTACTAGCGAATCTAATTTGCATGGTGGCTTTCTTGGAGCCTCTTTCTCAGAGAGCAACAGCCATCATGTGGTCCCGCTTGGTGTTCTTGAGTACGTCAGCTAATCTCAAATCCTTCCCCTCGTCCACAAACTCATTTAACCTTTATGAGCGTTGAAAATTGAGGCTATCCACTATGGATGTCACGGACGTCGAAAACCTGTATAACTTCAGTGGTATTTGTGTAAAATATCATACAGGGAGGTTCGCTTTTTATGCTGCTTCCGCTTTAAGCTATGGTGGATGACGCAAAGAATGGGCTCGTGTGGGCAAGAAGTACCATATGAGACTCAATTCATGCTCTTGGAAGGTCCTTCAAACAAGTATTCTGTCTTGCTGCCAATTCTAGATGGTGCATTTCGAGCCTGTCTTCAAGGCAATGCAGAAAATGAGCTACAATTGTGTGTCGAGAGTGGTGAGTGTGGCATCAATAGCGTCTACCTTATATATTATTTCCTCCTATCTTGTGGCTCTTGCTCCTCTCTTCTGAGCATGCAATTTAATAATTTTTAGTTGGTTTTCTTGAACAGGAGATCCGGCTGTCGTCACAAATCGTTTAGATTATTCAATTTACATGCATGTGGGCAGTGACCCTTTTGAGGTCATCGAAGACGCTGTTAGGTGTGTCCTTTTTGTATTATCCTTAGCCTTAATCTAATACATCAGATATAAAGTTACGTAGTTATTGAAGATTTAAATGCTTTCCAGCGGACCCTCTTCCAACTTTAACATACTTATGCTTTTGGTCGCTAAGTCTGCTAATCAAATTGCTTTTTTTTTCTGAAGAAACTTTGATTTCTATTCACTTGGCTAGGGCTGTCGAAGCGCATTTGCAAACATTCGTTCATCGTGAAAAAAAGAAGGTGCGTGTGCGCATTAAAATTTTAACCTCTTTTTTCTTTTTCTTTCTTTTTCTTATTTCTCACCTTACCCTCCATTAGGCGCAGGGCCTCTGAATATATGCGAAGCATGCATTATCTGTGCGCTTCAAGGTTTTGGGTTATGTACTAGATCTTTATTAGGCGTTTCTAAAATGACATTAAGTAGACTAAACCTCTCCGTTGGTGGGCTTGATGATGGCTTATGCTATAGCGTTGAGTGTCCAGTGTCCAGTATAGATAACAGGTTGTTGTTGGTGCGGCCAGATTCCAGGCATTTTGGACTACTTTGGCTGGTGTACATGGGACGCTTTCTACACGGATGTTTCAGCTAAGGGCGTAATGCAGGGTCTTTCAAGGTACATTATTTTCAGTTTCTAGGTGTTGTGCTTACGAAATTTGACCTGCTGTTCAATGACAAAGAGGAATGAACTACAGCTATCTAAGATAGCATGGCATTCTTATCTTATGCTAATTCATTGTTCAGTTTGGCGGAAGGTGGAACACCAGCCCGGTTTCTGATCATTGACGATGGCTGGCAATCTGTTGCGGCTGGCGACGAATCAGCAGGACAGTCTACGGCTGTTACTCAAGGCACCCAGTAAGCATATGTATCCAAGTTTACATCTTCAGTTTTGTCTATTCACACTATCTGCACTGCACTAGTTATACTCTTCGATTTTCACTCGTTTTAGATGGATGAAATATCAACTTAGCCTGCACTTCTTTCTATCGATTTCAGCAACCTGGAGAGTTGGGATTTTGAAATGAGCAGTAATCTTAGAGTTAGTCATGAATTAGTGCTGAGTTAATGATCCGTAAGTTTTTAGTTTCATTGTCACTAATTTTACGAAATTAGAGTAGAGAATATGTTTTGTATTTTGCAGTCATAATTTGTGAACTTGATCATTTATTGCATATGGCCCCATTATATTGTTGCAGGTATGCTAGCAGGCTCACGCATATCAAGGAGAATCACAAATTTCAAAAGGATGGAGTTGCTGGTTCTTGGCCAGAAGATCAAAGCCTAGGACTTCGGCACACTGTTCTTGATGCCAAGGCCAATTTCAATCTCAAGTAAAACAATTCTGACTTTCAGACCCTCAAACACCATATTTCTCCAAATTGACGGTATTTGGTTTAAGCATTTCCTAAAAATTTCCGACGTTCAGCAGAAGAATAAACAGACATTCCTGCAAAGGGTATTTCCACTTGGTGTTAGAACAGTGTGAGCAATAGTATTATAAGTAAGTTTAGATTCATATGTAAACTAGATTCACTTTTAATACTCTGCTGACATCACTCCCCAATTCCAAATGGGAATGATTCGTCCAAGAAAATTACAACCATTGAAAATTACTTGTGTGGTTCTTAGGTATGTGTATGTGTGGCATGCGCTGGCTGGTTATTGGGGTGGAGTCCAGCCTGGGGGATCCAATACCAAGATATATGATTCAAGCCTTGTTTATCCTGTTCATTCTCCAAGTGTGTTGGAGAATCAGCCTGACATGTCGGTTGACAGTCTCACTGTGAACGGCCTGGGCTTAGTCAATCCAACGGAGTTCTTCTCTTTTTATGATGAGCTTCACCGCTATCTAGCAGACGCTGCTGTAGATGGCGTCAAGGTTGATGCACAGAATATTTTCGAGACACTTGGCGCAGGACTTGGTGGCCGAGTCAAACTTGCGCAGCAGGTTCATCAAGCTTTGGAGGCTTCTATAGCTCGCAACTTCCCAGAAAATGGATGCATCAGCTGCATGAGCCATAGTACTGATAATCTTTACCAGTGAGCTTTCACATGCAGCTATTCACATTTTGATCCTCTTTTCCTATGACTTCAGATTCCGTATTTATTTTTGTACATGAAGAAATTAGGTCACATGAAGTAATCGTGTTGCTTAGGATGACTTCCTTTTTGTTAGATTCGTGTGTGTGCGCGTGTGTTTTTTGTTTTGTTCTCTTCTTCTTTTGTCTTTTTTTGGTCTTGTTTTGTTTTGTTTTCGTGAACTATCTTCATAGACCCGTCAGAACAAAACCTGTGCGAAGATGAATGGGTGACTCTAAACGAAACAAAGTGAGTTTGCGTTTACATTGCAAGGTTGGGTATCAAAACGGCAGCGTGGTTTTGATAGATGGATCTGTCACTTGTCGCAGCTCAAAGCAAACAGCGGTGGTTCGAGCATCAGATGATTTTTGGCCTAGGGATCCAGCTTCCCATACTATCCACATTGCATCAGTAGCGTATAACTCTCTGTTCCTTGCAGAATTCATGCAACCAGACTGGGACATGTTCCATGTAATCCTCTTATCTAAATCATGTTCTCTTTTGGATCCTTTTGTACTGGGTCACTGCTCACCAGAAATATTTCCTGGGTAGGTCAAAATAAGAGAGTAGCCTTATGAAGTAAGGACCTGGGTTCAGCTTAAGTAAGCTCAAAGACACGTGAAGCTGCATTGATTTTCTTGTACACATAAAATGGTCCTGTATTGTTTTAGAAACAGTTATGAATTAATTGCTGGTTTGACATCTCTTTATGTTTATGTGAGCAGAGTCTGCACCCGGCAGCAGAATATCATGCTGCTGCCCGTGCTGTAGGAGGATGTGCAATTTATGTAAGGTAAAGTACTGAACCTATCATAAAAACTGTATTGTTTATGTGACTCAATTTTTCAGAGGAAATGCAGTAAGGAAGTTTCTATAAACACAGCTTCTGTTGATTGTGCACAGCTAAACTTGCAGGAGTTAATGGTTTGGGTGCAGTGACAAACCTGGAAACCACGACTTTAATCTCTTGAAAAAATTAGTGTTGCCCGACGGCTCGGTACTGCGAGCCCTGCTCCCAGGCCGCCCTACCCGTGATTGCCTCTTTTCCGATCCAGCTAGGGATGGCAAGAGGTGATTATCAATAACTTCCCAAAGCTTTTTCATGACGCTCAAGATTAGTAGATTATTCACATTGTCTCAAATGTCTATGCTTGAGAACGTTACGCAAGTAGTTCTCTTACGTCTATTTTATTGGCTCTCAGAAGTGACGTCTGCGTCACAATGCTTTGAATATCCACCTAATATATATCCACCTGTGCAACCTTTGTGTGTAGTTTGCTGAAGATATGGAACATGAATAAGTATGGGGGGGTGATAGGCATATTCAATTGCCAAGGGGCAGGGTGGTGTAAATTGGACAAGAAGTACACAATCCACGAGATCAGGCCGGATGCTATCTCAAGTAGTGTCCGTGCCGCCGACATTGACCGCTTGGCTGATGCAGCACCAGAGGGCTGGGATGGTGCTTGTGTCGTTTTCAGCCACCAATCCTGTGAGCTTGTTAGAATAACTCTTCACGCAGCGTTACCCATTACGTTGCGGAAGCTAGAGTATGAGTTGTTCACTGTGGCTCCTGTGAAGGTTTGAGTCCATCTCTCCTGAGCTTTCTGTTATGGTGCCTTACATTGCCAATGCCTCGAGAAGAAATAATTACCTTCTATTAGTATTTGTTGTTTTGTTCATCAATGTTTTCTACGATTAACGACTGCCATGGCTCTGCAGAAATTGGATACCGACCTGTCTTTCGCACCTCTAGGACTCATCGAGATGTTCAACTCTGGGGGAGCATTGAAAGGACTTGACTTTGACACACAAGGCAAATCAGTGACCATGCAAGTGTTTGGGTGGGGAACATTCGGGGTCTATGCATCACAAAGACCACGAGCTTGTGCACTGAATTGTTCAACAGACATCCCCTTGAGCTATGACCAAACCTCCGGTCTTGCTTCAGTAAGTCTTCCTCGAGGAGAAGAAGGCTGCTTGTGGACTGTGACTATCACATTCTAGCATCCAGAACCTAGACAGTGCAGACCTCGAAATCTGGAAGGATGCTCCGCACAAAGTAATCATCCTTCACATTGTGCTTCGATCACAGTTGAAGTTAACAAAATTCTTGGTAATAGAAATCGACTGTATTGTGAACCGATTCACTTCTATTGGGAATATTTTCCCCATCTTACCGAAACGGAAATTTCACTACTATTTTCCAGACCACAGTTCCTGAAAACAGTGGTTTCCATCCTCCCACCGTCCAAGTTCTCATGAGATCATTCCTCATCAGCTGTACTATCGTTTTTATCCTTGGATAGCCCTACTTCTAATTCTGATCCATACCCACGCAGGGAACGGCAGGTAGGATTATTCTCCCTGGTTCCGATCATTGCTCCACCATCAATCAATTACCTCCAGCCACAATCGAAACTTCCAATCCTGTAACAACGAATATAACTTACTCTCCTGGGCGACTAGCATCGTGCCACCAACACGCGAGAAACATACTCAGGCTGACACGAATGGACCCGAATCTTCTAAACGATAACTGCCTTCGAGAGTGGAATGAGGTGGTGTCAGCAACAGGCGCCGCCAAAAAGAACAGTGAGTCTGGGTTTCCCAACAATTCAGCAGGGAACTAGTGATAATCAACCCAAGCTCAAGGGGCATGTTCCCGTATATCCGGACTTCGAACTGCCTGCAAGTACAGAATAAAACTTACTGTGCCACAGATCCATGGTGACGGCACGTCGGAGGTGCCGCTATTTTCAGAAACAGCAGCATGTCAGGCAAGCTGAAAACACTCCTCATTCCTCTTTTTCAGTGGGGGTCGTGCTACTGCAGACAAACTCGGATCCCACCACTGAGATTAGCATCAGTCACTTAAATTAGTTTCTGTGCCGACGATTTGCCGTTTGAAGCGATACTTTATTCCCTGCTTGATTTCCAATTCGTTTGAGACAAATACACAGGCAAAGTTTGTGATAGATAGCTTCTCATGGCCCATAAGCTCTGCAGATTCTTATTTTTGAAACAGTGGGGGTGAGAACTTCCCTATACTAAATTCATCCCTTGTGACTTAGTGTTGGTGATTTTATATGTAACTGTCCTGCTGGGGAGTGAATAATGGGTAGGATGGACACCCCTTACTCTTGGGCCAAGGAAAATCAACCCCCAAATTAGGACTGGAGGAAATTACTTGAAACCGGTTCAAAATCAGACTTCATCCACATGATATTTCAGGCAAATATGAAAGTTTCGAGTGTGCCCACAAATGGAGAGCCAACCCAAGGATAGAGGTGGGAAGGTTAAAGGGAGCCTCTCCAACTCTCCGAGAGAGGAAGTTGGAGGAAATGTATGTCAATTGTGGGTTTTGTGATTTTCCAAAAACAAAACATTGTGACAAAGTTTATCACCAATAGGGGGTTTCAAACATGGCACTTTTGCAAAACCAAATAACGAAGATTCAGCACTTGATATTTTCATGATCACTCAAAATATCAAATCCAAAATATCACCTTTCAAACTTTATTACCTATTTATTTTTGGTGAAGTATCACTTGATATTAGGTGGTGTAGTATGGAGTCAAAGAGGGAAGGTAGCTGAGGCAAGTGATGGTTTCTGATATTTGACCCATGCCTCTTTTCATATTTTGGTTTCAAAATCATCCACTTTACAAAGTCGGTGATTTGCTGAAATATCGAGTGATATTTTGAAATATCACAAGATGTTTTGACCAAATATCAACCATAAAGGCCATGTTTAAAATCCCCTAATATCAAAATGATTTGAATCTTAGACCTCCAAGTCCAAGGTTTTCCTTAATGTAATTTGACCAAATTTTACAAGGTTTGGATTGAATTCTAAAGTTATTTAACAAGGGGATTGATTGTTTCTTGCTTGTTTCCTTGAGACAACAAAGAAGTAATAGATCCAAAAAAATTGACTTTATCCTATGGGTAAAATTTTGTGAGACTATGACCATCCATTGACTTAATGTAGGAGTCATTTCTCCAAACTATTACACTTGTACCTAGGTTGTATTGGATATAGATATCCTTAATACAACCATCAGCAATAGAGTTTAGAATTTTGTATAATTTGTGTACAAATGGAGCAAGCCTGGGTATTATATGAAATCTACACAATAGATTTTAATATCTCAACAATTTCATGTCGATCCCTACAATATATAATTTTTTATTTATCGTAACTAAAATTGTAAAGAATGTCAAAGGTTGGAAGCAACTTCTTTTTATTTTTAAAAAATTTGTATATTGATCCATGTTTGGGGTTGCAAATTTGTCAATATTAATATAGGCTTACAGACACCTAAACAGTAAAATTATAAATAGGGAAAAATAATAGGAATAAAAACAGAAAATGAATAACATTTGTGATTTTTGAACTCGTTGTTGATTTTTTTCAGTTACTATAAAATAATAAAAATAATCGTCTTAATTTGTCTCCGTTGTTTCATTGAATACAGTATATTTAATGTTGATTTAATATTAAAAATTTGTTCCAGTGTTCATCTTAACAGTACTCTTTACTGTAAAATTTGGTTGGTTTTGTTGATTTATTTTTTTAAAAAACTAATCATGTGAGAAGACAGACTATGATTTTTTAAAAAAAATTATTTCATTTATAAATAATAATAATAATAAAAAAACTTGTGTTAATGTGGATGTTTGAAAATTTTATATATCTATATATATATATATATATATATTACTTTGTACCAAAAATTATTTTGCAAGGAAAAGGTTAAGAATTTGTGATTGCAACCCTTACACTAAAGTTCATTCAAGAAAAATTAGCATGAAAAATTCAAGTCAGAGACTTTCAATGCATTGATGGACGTGTTCATGAAAATATGTTTCACTGAAAAACCATCGAACTATGTTTGATTTTGATTATATAGAAGAAAAAGCAAAGGAACATATCTTAGTTTAACTTCAAGCCCATACAGCACTGAGTTTATATACACTCTTCACAATATTCCCAAACTAATATAAACAGGGCAAAGTAGAAACACCTCAAAAGAATAATTTCCCGGGCAGATTTCCAACGGGCACCCAAAATTTTCCAACATATTCCTTCTTTCCGCTGCCCGAGAGAATATTCCACGAATGTATGACGTGGAGGAAAGATGCTCCCGGGTCTGTGGAGGACCGGCCCCGCCCTTCCCGGCCCTGACCATTTCTTCCAACACGGCACTTCGATCACATTCAAAATGTATGAGATGCATATTAGTAAACGGGATGGTGCTTGGTTTCAGTATGTTCCAAATGCTTCTAATATTATACTTATTATATTAATTAGTGTTGGAAAAGGCAAAAACGAGGACAAGTTGTAATGTGTTTATGTGTACCATATAGAATGACGATGTTGCGTTGGATAATATAATAAGGCAGGCGTCACTTACCATGTCATGTCGGTTCTCGAGTGTTTGTGGAGCTTTTGCTGCAACTACAATTTTCTTGAAGCGCTAGACGGGCCTCACTAGGCTCACTGAGGAGCTCCGACACCGAGAGGGTCTTCTCTTTCGGCGCGCTTTCGGTGCTTTGAGTGATCGGTAGTCTTCACTGCCGAGTTGTTGGATTGGTTGATTCGGAGCGCTCGGTTTTTTTTACGTCTCCGCTGAGTTGAATTAAGGCTGCGTTGGTTTGCTGGTTGTGCTCATTCTCCTCTATACGGGAAGATGATGTGGATTCCGAGGGGATTTTTTCTCGTAGTTCGAATGGGAGCGTTCCGTGGTCGTGGAGCAATTGTAATTTAGCACTGCGGACAAAATTGAAGAGCTCTGAAACCTACGGGGATTGTTGTTGTTGTGGTGGTGGTGGTGGTTCAGGCGGTCTGATTTGTGTGAAAGTGATCAAGAAGTGCATTTCTAGAAAGTGTTGGATCGTTGGTAGTCATTTGCATGTGCATGTGGTTGGAGTATTGTGAAGATGAAATTGGTGCTGTGATACTAAGATCTTCGCGAGACGATTAGCACTTATGTGCGCTTCTGAGGAAGTTTGAGCATTTGCTTTCATCTCCGTAGTATACATTGAAGCATGTCGTGCCAGACAGCAAACTTTGAGTTTAACGGAAGGACGCAGTGCGCGCTGAGAATGCAAGTGAAATCTCACCCTTAGCGTGCGCAGCGAAGAGTGTGCCTTGATTATCTTTTGAGCTCATTGCCCGTCATCTGCCCTCTTAAAATCTCAAAGACTCGTCCTGTCACCAACATTCTCCACGGCTGTAGTTCTTATGAACCGAAGCGCTAGAAAAATCTGTTCTCGACCCGTAGCTACTGCACTTGAAGTGCAAGTGTTTTTGTAATCGATTAATTTTGTGATTACTTGTTTTTGAACGGTACCTCGTTGTCACTTTGAAGTAGTTCTTGTTACGATGAAGTTCGGGAAAAGCCTGCAGAGTCAGATAGAAGAGACGATGCTGGATTGGAGACCACATTTCATAGCTTACATAGAGCTCAAGAAAAGTTTGAAAACGCTTCAGGCTCCTGTCTGTTTTTCTGAGGCCGCTTTTGAAGAAGTGGCGAGCTCATCCCTGGAAGTAGCGGATCAAAATGCGTCCTCAGCCGTGAACATTGGAGGTCCGGCTCCAGGTCAACGGTCTTTGTTGTACAAACGGCTCAAGAACAGTGTGAAATTTGTCGACAATGGACTGGTGATGGAACAAATGTCCTCTCCAGACGACGGTCCATTGGAATCGGCTGCATCAAGTGTGGAGCAGTTCTTGGAGAATGGATTTCTCGGAATGAATGGTGTGATAGAGAATAAAAGGCATGAATTTGTGAGAAAAGGACATAAATGAGCAAAGCTTGACGATGGGACTACTCTGGTCTCCTTTCTGGAGACAGATTTCATGACCCTCCTGAATAAGGAATTGAACAAGTTGAACGTCTTCTTTATAGAGAAGGAAGAGGAGTATGTTATCCGCCTTCAGGTGCTACTTGCTAAAAATGTTGTTTTGAAAACACTCGCCCTCGATGCTCTTAAAGTAATATGGAACGTTCAACAATTTCACAAGAATTTGGTATGGTCTTGACTTGCATACAATTGTCTTGATTTCACTGACTGGTTTTTTTTTGTTTTAACACGCAGATGCGTACGTCAGACTCTCTCATCATGTTCGTCAGCCTCTTTCTCTTTTTCAGTATGTGATAGTGATGCTTACTTTTCGAGCATCTGCTGTGTGCACAGAGGCTGAAATACAGAATTGAGAGATTGAAGAAAGAACAAGCAGCCAACGACGGACGTGTTAGAGGAAACTGTGGGTATGAAGATCTTTTAAAGATTTTGAGAGACATTGTGGCTTCTCACGGCGAGATGGTTCTGTTGGAGAATTACAGTTCGCTGAATTATACAGGTAAATAATTGGCATCGCAAGATGTAACGAAGTCATTAAGCTTTTCAGAGAAGTGCTTTTATCTTCTGTCTAACTTCCCCCAAATATATTTTGTCTCGAGGTTATCTGTTTGAGAGAGCTGATCTACTGGTGTTTCTGTGTCCAGATCTCGTAAAGATTATGAAGAAGCATGATAAAGTGACGGGCACTCTTCTCAGGTTGCGCTACATTCAAAGCGTGCTGCTGCAGCCGTTTTTCACGACGGAGCTTCTCTCGAAATTAGTACGAGTGTGAGAACAACTTACAATCACTTGTCCCGATTTCACCATGAGTCTGTTCGTAGTCAGTTGAAGCAGGAACACAGTACACAAGCATTTTCTACGGACAGCAGCAATAGTCAAGCACATCCTTACATTCCTGGAGACATTGTGGAAACTATCTTCAGGAGCATAGTTGTGGCATTGAAAACAATGAAGGAAATACGAAAACGTTCAACACCAAGTATCTTCTCGCTGCCACCAATGAATCGAACTGACAGCGAAGAGATGTTCGGGATTTCGGTGGACCAGAGCTTAGTCCATCCAGTTACTGTGGACCTTTAGGCTGTTAGTAAAGCAAAATTTCTTAGGATGAGATATTTTCTAGAGATCTTGGACCAGGAACTCTGAGGTATGTGTGCATTGCAGATAGATCAGTTTCTCAATCTCTATCAAGCACTTGAGCCAAAAACCTCTCACCATGTCTCAAATATCAAGTTCTAGAATGTAAAGATTTGTGATAAGTATTCTAGTATTGGACTCATCACTGACTAAGAATTAGACTTTTTATTAAGCTAGCTTAGTAAATGTTCAAAAAATACTTACCTGTTAAGCTACACATAAATGAAAACAGCGAAATATTTTTTGAACATTCTTTTGGAACGGAAACGATGAAATCATTTTTTACTTCTTAAATCACAACTAAACCAATGTAGTGTTCATAGTTGTTTTTTTATTATGGCTATCAAGTGCTTTCCCATCCGTCCATCGAAAACCCAAACAAAAAGAGCGATCACTGATGGATAGTGCAAAAAATGTAGCCGAACAATGATGTAATGTTATTCTTCTATCCTTGAGGCCCATGTTGCAATATGGAATATAAACTACCAGACCTGAGAATACTTCACATTGCCTCGTTTCCAGGTTCATGTTCCTAAAAACGTCAAACTAAAGCAAATGTGAAGTCACTCGGACGTCCAGAAATCTATCACCACTGTGTACATCCTATCAATTTCAAGGTCTAGAAGGGGGCATGGTGGCCATTAAGTAGCCACAATTTCTTTTGGATATGAGGACTTTTAGGGTTGTCATTTCCTAGGTTATCGAAGATGTCAGAAATAACGCAGCCACATGCAAGTATTGAACTACCAAGTGATGCAACTACCTTGCCGTCATCTTTCTTCTAGGTATGAGGCTCTCCCTCTTCAGGAACTCTTTCTCAAGTTCATTCAGTCCTCGTCGACTTCCATCAGGTTCCGCAACGAAGCGCTTCCCACCCCTTTTACCTCTTTTTCCCTTCTCACCCAACTCTTCCACGAGATAACTCCATCCACCAGGTGGCCTTCGTCTACTTACAATGTCCGTCTTTATCATCCCGGCTATCTGTGACAAGGAAACACGCGGAGTCTATTAGATACCAGAAGTTATCGCAACGGTGCAAATATTTTAGATTAAAAGGGCTCAATATAAAACAATAATGAATGTGAACAACAAGAGGCAGAGAAGGCTACTAAACTAGCTATTCGCAAAAACCTGTGTAAATACAACTGGCTTTTTCGAAAAAGGAAAAAGGGAAAAAATCTCGACAGGAGGAATAGAACTCTGACTGTGAACTTTGTGAATGTCCAAGTAGAGATTGGACTCCTTGCTTGGTTATCCGGCACCTGACCTGCTTTTTGTTGAAAGACATTCGTCGCTCGAATTCATGCAGCATCATCTCGTCTTCTTTTGCCGACAGCTCGTCCCAATCTGGACCCTCACCATCTTCTGCAGCCGAATTCTTTATTGTTGGGCTGGTGCGTCTAATTTTGACGTGGCGCTCCCCATCAGCAGCTTCGTAGGTTCTGATTCACACCTCGAAGCAAATAAAATCATGTTTTAAGAATGTAAGCACGCACCCTCATCACATGTGTGTGTGTGTTTTGAAGGCAACACTTTGAGAGGAGCTTTGCTTCATTTTGCTCCGCAAACACCATAATTCGGCTACTCTAAACATAATTTGAGGAAACAACACACCGAAGGGATGACTACTGCAAATATCGTTGACTGCAAATTGATTACTTTCACACCATCACACTTTCGATATTATGCATCAGTGCTCACAGTTAAAAGCGGAAACACTAACCCATCAATTCTCGCGAAGTATTCTTCAATGTCTGTATCCAGGGGACTCCCTTGAGCTGCTTCTTCCTGCTTTTCAATGTCCTTCAGCCATATAATAGCATGCACACGCTGCTTACGTATGCGATACTCTTTAGCTAGCCTGTCAATTGTCACAGGCTCCGGATTATCGTGGAAAGACCTCCATATTCTCTCCTTCACAGGCTCCGACAAGCGACACGCTTTATAATCGGGCTCTACACCAGAAAAGTTGTATATGAACGGTGTTTGAGCGATCTGAACAGAAAAAAAAAAAAAAAAAAAAAAAAAAAAAAAGGTTGCCGCGAAAGTGTCAATTTTCATAATTATTCAACAATTCTATGGTTTAAATCATTTAATAGTAATCGGTCCTAGATCAACTATCCTTCGAGTTGACACTTGAGCCTAAAGCTTCAGCTCACCAAGTAGCAACTATTGGGAGTAAAACGCCCTAAAATGAAAGGCCAAATCCATGGGTATGAACAATGTAGGAACATAATTTCATCATAAGAAATGTTGTTGATAACTTCGCTCTTCCAACTTTCCAATGATTGAGCTGAACATCTGCCTTAGGACCAACCAGGAGAAAAATCTGAATCATCTACACCCAAGTAAAAATGTAGAGATAGTTTCTACCTCTTCGTCACTAATAATCTCCCGCTTTCCTCTGGCAGGTTTCCCGTCGGGATCACCCTCACCATCCTTGTTCTCGTCACCTAGTCCTCCCCTCTTCTGAAAGCACCCAGGGCCGGTGGAGATCTGCCTGTACCCTCGCAGCAGCCCCGAGAAACTCCCCTCAGGCGCGATGCCAGCCAATTGGCGGGCACATCGAAGCAGCATGATCGTGCCTACGAGGAATACGAAACCAAATCAACCGCGCTATCTTCCGAAAAGGGATTCTCACGCTACACCATCGCTCGGCAGCCCCGCCAATCGCAGCAAAAGAAAATCACGACAGCTTCAAAAGTGGCTCACGAAGAACCCTAATCGGTCCACAAACCAACAAAGAAAGGTTCTCTGCAAAACTCCCTCTTCATTCAGAAATCGGCAACCGAGGGGAACGAAAGCAGCGGGGTCAGCTTCCAAAGACCAAAACCCTAAACCCCATGGCACTTCGCGGATGATGAATGAATTGTTGTATAACGAGGAGAAGCGTTCATCGTCTTTTGTTCAGGAGGGTTCATGCACAATTTGCTGAGGTCCCGCATTGTTTCGGTGTTGCCGAAGCGATGGAGGTTGCAGTATTTCTTTTGTTGTCTGGAGGCGTCGTTGCGCTGTCGAGTTGAATAATATATGGCTGAATTATGAAATTTTAGACGTTGATTTGATCTTAGTAGTCTTGCTCGTTTCAGTCATTGAAAACTCGGACGATTGGAACTTTTACAGGTGATAAATTAGTTTCTGCGTAATGGCTTTGAAGTTGAAGACATTTACCCGTGGCTGAAATTTTTAGGGTTGCATCGATCGACCCCTCGCACAGAGTTTTTCTGGTACAGCTGATTTGATTGCTATGGAGAATCGAGTGCATTACATCCACCGCGTGGTACGGAGTCGGGAGGAGGAGCACTTTGTGACCTGCAGAATGCGTTAGCTCGCACTTGTAGATTCATTTCTAACCTCCTGCCGTTTTAGGCTCGGCTTTAAGTGGCGTGATGTTTCGATTGTCATGGAGAGGGAATAGTACGCGCTGTAGGTAGGATTTTCTGTCTTCAATTCCCTAACAATGCTGAGACAGAAATCAAAGGAAGGAGTCAAACTTCAGCCATGGCATGCAACCAAAATTTATGATGATCAAGGCATTCTCCGATCATCCCGTCAACACAATTGAGCTGACTGTGAGGCGGTCTAGAGTAGGTTTGAACTTTATACAGCATCACATCGGGACTTCATTCATGAATTAAACCGCAGACACAGAAATCGTAGCTCACAGGAGTACGTTACGACATGCCATGTGCACTACCAAACTGTACTTGTGTCGGAAGGAGATATTTCTTGTATGTCGCTGGCAGAGTGTCTGGTGACGATCATGGTTCGTACATGTATATAGTGCAATCTTAGTCACCCGACTACAAGTGCTTTACACGACGGGAACCGAGAGGCGAGATGAAGGATTTGTAGGAACGTTTGGCGTAAGCAAAGAAAAGGAAGCCATGAACATAGCATAGAGCAAAGGCATCCGTGCTCCTGGTGCCTGTGGTCCACCATAATTTACTTGCGAAGCGCTTGTAATTTCCAACAGATCGAGGAAATTCGTGCTTTATGTGGGTTCTAAGTAATCAATTCTTACTGGTATTGTGATCTGTAAGTGCTATCCAGGATATCTGTAAAGGTTACGCTGGTTGATCATTTTTATTTAAATACAACCTGAGATAGACTTAACCAACGTAACCTTTACAGATAACCAAATACAACGTTGGTTAAGTCTATCTCAGGTCTTTCTGTGTGAGTAAATTTTAAACTATTTCACAAGGTGTACTTTAAATGGTATTAACTGTTAGCCATTTTATTTCAAGCCAGTCTCTGTCAGATATCACGTTAGTGTAAGTGATGGTGAGAGCATGATTTGGGATAGGATTTGAACATAAATATACAATTGATTAATATGCTTTTTTTAAGAAAATAGTGCATTTTTAATTATGTTAGTGTATTATATCTTGGCAGGTAATGATTTGAAATTGAAAACATATATGAGTACTCTTATATGAAATATATTGTTGAAATTTTATAATGTTTTTATTAAATTAAATTAAATTAAATTATCTTAAATAATAAAATAATTTTGAAATAATAAAAAAAGGTTATAGAAACAAATGTTACATAGATTTGAATTTCAATTATGTTATAAACAAATATGAATGACAAAGGAGCTGTACCAAACTTCTATTAGTATTAAACCTTACAACTCGTAATTTAATGGTTTTATTTAAATACTGTCACAACTATAATTTATGTTTCAGAATGGTTACTTATTTTTAAAATTATAACAGTTATATTCTTTAATATATTGTTTCTAATTTAAATAAAAAAATCAATCCAAAGAAAATTTAGTATTCAATTTTTAAAAATTAAACAACGAATTATTTTTCTAAATATTATAATTCTTTCAAAAATAGAAGAATGTGTTTTTAAAAATAAAACATAAATACATGTATGTGTTGTTTAAAAATAAATTTTAATATGCTTTCTTTTTAGATAATTTCAAATTGAATTAAAGTATTCTATGTTTTAATGATGTGATATCTAATATTATACACTAATTATTAAATCAAGTATTATATTCTAATAAATCATAGAAACTTATAAGGTGAATGTATTATTTTATTTTAATTTTTAAAACACTTTAAGATTAAATTGATAGACATTCAATTGAATTTAATTATGTTAAATTTTACTTAAAGCTGACAAGAACAAGAAAAGCAAAAAATGTTATCAACAAGCGAATTATAAAGAAATTATCTTTAATTAATATATTTTTATTATTATTTTAAACATAAAAAATATATATGATTACTTTCTTTTAATAATTTTGGTAACTCACTAATAAAGTATATTTCAATATCATCAAATCAATATTTTAGTAGTTTCTATAAAATGAATTGAGTATTGTCACATGACAATTAAAATTTAGTGGTAATGAAGACAAATTATTGCTAGCTTTTGCACCAGCTAAAATTTTGAAAAGATCAACTTAAGGCAAGAAAAAAAACATATACATATATATATATATATATATATATGTGTGTGTGTGTGTAAGTAAAGGTTGTTGGAAGCAAGATCTTTTCTTATTCCTTAAGTTTCCTGTATTTAACTTTTTTTTGATTTCGTTTTATTTAAATCAGTTAAAGGTCCACATATGCTTAGGTTTTAAAGCATAACAAAACTTGTTGTTGCACCTTATTAGAAAATAGATTAAATATTTAATTCTGGTATTAAAATTTGAAGGTGCTAATTTTAAATCTTAGATATCCTTAAAGACATACATTATTAGAGAAAATTAGTCTTCAATTAGAAAATAATCATTAAACATTAGAAAAAATTTTATGTATGGACTTATATGATTTGTATAGTAGGAATATTTATTGATATTATTGCATTTTGTTGCAAAAAGATTTAACTAAAATTTTATAAATTAAAATAATACTATGTATTAAACACTTTTATAGGCAATTTTTATTAAAAGATATTAAATTTACATAAAAAACATTCTTTGTTTTTTTGACTTATATTTTAAATATTGAAAAATCATTAAGAGAGCAAAAAATATTTAAAGAATTTTATGATACTATTTAAGAATTTATAAACAATTTGTAACTTAGTAGGACCTTTTAAACCATTTTGAAGACTAAAAATTTAACCTTCAAATTATTTAAAGATAATGATCATTAACAATTAGAAAAATTAAATTAAAATTTATAATTTATAATTAAAAATTTTGTTATAACTAAAAAAATTACAAATTTAATCTTATAATTATTTAAAAAAATAATAATAATAATAATAATAATCAAAATAAGTATTATTATTATTATTATTACTATCTTATCTTTTAATGAGGCCAATATAATTTTTTTAATAATCTAAAAATAAGATTATATCTAAAAATTTTGAATTTAAATATATAAATAGAGTAAGAATAATTTCTTTAAAATTATAGCATGTTCAAGTAAATTTTATTATAAAAATGAAATTTTGATCTCTTTTTCGAAGCATAAATTTTAATAAATTAAATTACATGTAATTATATAATACAAAGAAGAGTTGTTACACAAACTTGATCATGTCTTGGAATTCAAATGGAAAATTTAGAATTTGAAATAGCAATGTTTTCTAAAATTTAAATAAGATAGAAAAACTAAAAGAATATGATCCAATTCTCATTGTTATCTAATATATCCACACATACAATTATTCTTTTATCTTTTAAAAACAACATCTCTCATATAAAGCAATTCAAGAGAATAAACTAACATTATAAACCAAAGGAGACAAAAACCATCTCTAATTAGTTGCATATCTTATTTTTTTCAACAAAAGTGAAACAATAACTCAACTTTTGATCAATGAAAGAACAAAATTTACATGTTAATGCTGCAAATTGCTGAGAGTAGCATGGCTAGATCACACTAAGTGTGGAGCTTAAAAGCAACTTAATGTGGAACGGCATGCAACATGGAGTTTCAGGTTATATGAAGCTTCGAAGAAAAGGATAATTCACAATAATTAGCATATAATATTTTTTTTCATGGCCAACCGCATGATTTCCACTAGTGTGTATATATACATATATATATAGACCTACCTCATCCATCAAACAAACACACACAATCGCACACATTCACAATGGTCACCCAATCTAAATATAGATGAACCATTTAGATGAGTCGTTGAAACCAGAGCTCTTGTCACGTCGCCGCATTCAAACAAAGCCTGCTCCTCTTCCTCCTCGTCGCTTGCGTGTGGCTTCATCCTCTTCACTTCACCACCATCGTCGCTCCTACCATTTGCAGACACACACTTACACACACATTTACACAGAGAGGAGAGGAGAATAGAATAGAATAGAATAGAGCGGACGAGGAGGAGAGAGTACGTAGCTTAGGCTTCGTTACGTTTCTACCAGGCTCTGCTGGAGAATATATATAATAATAATAATAATTTGTGCTTGTTAGCTTTCGTCCAATCAGACCTGGCCACCAGAAGCTCTTCGAGGAGGAGCTCCCTGCAGTTATATTTTAGTTGCACAACACACACACACACGGATAAATAGTGGTTGAATTTACTTAGGGAAATGTTATTCTTATGAATCATCTTGACTGGAAATTTGGAGAGGAGTGTACTTTTGGTATTGAGAAACAATGCCCGATTGCTGCAATGACACGGCTTGTGTATCTGTCACCGCTACTGTCCTCGCTCGTGTAGTCACGCGCTGGTCTCATGGTCCACTAGTTAGGAGATCTCTAGATAGTCTTTACACGCGGTATTGGTGAAGGTTGGATGTGTAGAGAAGTGCACATTAAGCGCCCGGAGGTTTATGGCTATTTAGGACAATTCTGTTTGTTGCTGCTGGCCTGCTAGCGATCAGGACTAATATTTATACGAGGGAGGTTGATAGGCACGTGCTAATGTGGAGCGGGATGTTTTGTTTAGAAATTTAGCTTGTCTTACGAACACACCTCGTTGCTCCTGCTAGGCTTTCATTTTGTGGCACTGTCCGAAACACGGCGAATTTAGTGTTGAGCGTGGTTGGATTTTCTTACGAAATGTTCTAAAGGTGTCCAAGATTTCTCGCTGGACCTGCATTGCTCCCAGGAATCGTAAGCATGTTTGGATCATATGCTTACGCTGCTTGTGGATGCGGAGCGGGAGCGAACTTGTGGATAGAAGCATGGTTTGGAGATTGTATTTATTCTCACTGGGAACTGACTTCCTTTTGCTTCGGCTTGTCATCAGTCTTGTTCTGGTTAGTTGCTCAAGTGCCACAGTTCATTAGCAATTGGCGCCTGCAAAGTGCGGAAGCTCTTTCACCCTGGTTCCTCTTTCAATGGCTTGCGGTGGGCATTTATTTCCTGCATCTCTTAATGACTTCTATTGCATTTGGATAAGACATGAACCGTCCTTACTGTAGGTGAAGAGCGCACTGTCCTTTAATGGCTTTGCTGTTGGCCTCTAAAGAAAATTCACTCTGTAGTATCGTTGCACTTAGTGAATGTCTGAAAAGCTTCTGTTGCTTTTGGGAGCCAAAGAGCGTCATCTCTTGCGAGATAAAATGGTGTAGGGACAGTGCACACCAGCTCAATGTTGTAAATTCTGATCATGGAAGAAGAATAAGTGTAGAAAAGTGATAGGAAAATGAAGGTTCCCTGAGAATTTTCTATGATCAAGCCATTTACCACTGTATCAGCGGGGAAAGTATGTTTGTTTTATTCATGATTTCTAATCTCTTTTCCTTGTTCTATACAATCGGCTGGCACTGTGTCTTGTGTTGAAGTATTGAGTGTTGAAGGAAATTAGTGGGTTAATATTGCTATCAAACAAGGTGATTGAAAGAGACTGATTCTTTTTTTCTAATTAATTACATTCCTTTTCGCCATATTTAGGGAGATACGTTCAACTTTCTTGGATGTCTTCTGACCGGTAATCAGCTTGCTACTCAAACTTTGTCGGCCAGTTACTTTATGTTTGCAGATTTCATAATTATAAGCCAGGTGAGATCCTCTCCAGCTGATTGTGTTCGAAGACTAAGTGTTACTACATTCTAAAGCTTCGACACCTCATTTTGTTACGTGCGGATAGACATAGCCGGATATTGCATGTACGTATCAATAATCGGTCATGTGGTAATTTTACATGTGCTAACTGTACATTGCCCTGTTGGCTGTAACGATTTTGTTCCAGTACTCGTATTATCAAAAACCAAGTTTTCCGGAAAAAGAACCGCGGCATTCCACAGAGAAGGATCCTGGGATGACGGAGGGGAAGTTAGACGTAGTGTATCGTCTTGTATCCCCGCCTTCCGGCTTATCTGGTGAGAATTAGAGATGAAATCAGGTCCCATCTGTCATGAAATATTCCAAGTAACTATCTTAATGCCGTCGGCTAGCTTAATCGTCTTTCTCGCATTGAAAAGAACGTAACAAAGGATGATGTAGCCTGCTTCTGCGTCATGCGTCATCTACAAAGATCTGATTTCTGTTGCACGACGCACTTGAGATAGCTAACAAAGGAATAAACAATATGCACTGGGTCCAGGTAGAGGTTGCTCTAGAGATATTGAGAATGGCGGTGAAAAACTAAAAGTCTGCCAGAGACATCTGGACAAATATCAGAGTGGGAAGGACACACGGCTCCTTACAAACTATACATGTGACGTCACGAATCCGAAGTCTAAATATTCCAATAGACCTGACTTGACAGCCTCAACATCCCCTTCCTTGAACAGGGAGCTACGACGGGTTATTATGCAGTATGGCTTGGAGTACGGTCACCCTGCTGGACCACTTCTGAGAATATACCATGGCCCTCTAAGAAAGCATCGTAAATATGTTGGAATAGCTGCTATTGCTAGCGTTGTTTGTCTAGGAGCTACTGCGCTTAGTTTGGGGTCAGGCAATCAGTCTGCTGTTAGTGTGGTGGGATCATCAATTGGAAGAAAGTTGCTGATCATCTGTAATGATCCAAGAGCATTGTGGATTAAAGACAGTGGAACCGTGATTGGGTATGTCTGTGCTCTAACTTTCTGTCCCTTTTAAATTTTTTACTTAGCATTTACCATGATTACATATCACTGAATTTCTACTTGATACATTTTTCTAAGAGATGTAATGAACAAAATCGGAGCAGTTCGCTTCAGAGATAATGGACAACGGTGGTTGCTCGGTCCTTTCTACTCGTTTGGCGATATAAATCATTTGCTCGCAGGCGATGGACATTTTTTATTAAAATGTTCGTAGCCTATTAAGTTGGGGTTCTTCACCATAGTTTGGTTATTCTAGGAACGTAAAAGAATTAATCGTTCTATTGTTCTGGTGCAGATGGGCATCTGCGTCTTTGTATCTTGGATCTCGAATATCTCAAGTAGTCAAAAATCTTGATCGTGGATCTGCGGAGGGATTATCACTTGCTATGGTTTCTTGTGCCATTTTGGCTAATCTCACTTACGGCATCTCCATTGTTATGCGATTGAATTCTTGGTATGTGTGGTGCTCCCCATTTCCACTTCAGTATTAGCCGTTTCCATCCTTAGATAGATGTCATTCTACAATGCACTTCAAACAAGAAGCGATTTGATGTATTTCACTGACCTTTATGCTGTACATCCTGCTCGCGTTTCTTTCTTTTCAATGAAGGCTAGGGTTCTTTGCGAAGGCACCGTGGCTGGTAGGGAGCTTAGGAACAGTGTCCCTCGATTTTTTCCTTCTCCTGCAGGTTGGTTTCGTCTACCCTCACACAGGCATGATTTGCAAAACATCTCGGAAGAGGTCATTTGTATCCAAGGCACTGCTTTGTCGTCACCACCCACTAACAGATTATGCCTAGACAAACCAGTGACACAGCTTGCATCGTTTGCTTCGCAGGCACATTATCTCGTTTACCAGTCTCAATCAAGGAAGGATAAGCTGAGTGAGTACACACCACTGCTAATCAAATGAAACAAGCATGTTGTTTTGGCATTGAATGTAGGACCTTCAATCGGTTTCGAAATATAGCATGTACATAATTATAATTGCTCACTGTAGCATATCACTAGAGCACCCACCATTGGGACGCAGGCTTAGATGAGAATGTTTTCCCAATGATACATTCACAATGCAAATGCACGGTACCATGTAGCTGCCATGCGTATGTTGTAGCTTTCGCTATCTTTGATTCGTTATTGTAATATTAGAATAACTTGGTCACTAGGTTATTGTGAGTCATATATTTTATTTTATTTCCTAGGATGAGATTCTTGTTTGTTTTATTTTATCTTTAGAAATATAATCTTCATAAAATTACAAATTTTCTAAATATTTTTAAACAAAAAATATCAACATATAAAAAATTCTTGGTTTATGATAAAGTTAAAAAAGAAATAAACTGAAATATCTGACACAACCGATTGATTTTTATATTATTATTATTTTTTATTTATCAAAGTGTAATATGAAGGAATTTAGAGTTCCTTTTCTTTTTTATTTTCATTTTTTAAGTAAAAATTCTATAAGTATGGCTTATATATCTAATTTATATTTGAATGTATAGTTAAGCTTATATACCCTCATTTAATATGTAAACATTAAACACAACTTCTCTCTGGTAAAGAGCCTTAGTCAACTAAAAATCTAAATATTTTATATAATACTTGTTGTACTCTTTCATAAAATAAATTTTGTACCAATTTTTGAAATACTTATTATTAATATCTTAAGTACTTTGCTCATTTCTTGGCAATTTCTATTTAAATTAAAAACTAAAAACTAAAATCCATTTTTCATATCTTACAATAAAATCTAAGTTAATAAATTACAACAGGCCATAAATAACAGAAATGAGCTTGTTGCACTGGTAAATAGTTTAATTTTTCTTTAAATAAATAAATAAATAAATAAATAACTAAATAAATTAATAATTGATAGATAAATAAATTTAAAACTATAACTCTTTGTTCTTTCTAAATTTTATTTTTAAAATCTAACCTCATAAACCTATTTTATTTTATTTTACTCTAACTATGTATATAAGTTAAAAGAATTGAGTTATAACTTGTGTTTTGTTGTACAAAAAAATATTTATTCAATTCATATCTAATATAGCTGTATTTATCATTTCTCTCAATTATTTTTCACTTGAAAATCAACATACATAATACATGTACATTTAATTGTACACATATATATTAGAATAATAATAATTTTTTAAAATAGTCTAGAGTGAAAATAAATTATAAAATGAATAAAAACTACTAACATAATTTAAAATAAGGTAACTAATATATTAATTTTGATAATTTTCACAAATATATGTATTTTCAATAATTATGGAATTTTTTTGGCAATTTCTACGACAACTTTTCAAAATTTTGTAGAAAAAACCTTTTTAAGAAGGCCCAGCATAATTTTCAAAGAATGACATTGTTCATGACATGTTAAAAAAAGTGTATTTCACCTCAACTTTTCCCCTAATGATGTATTTCTGGGTTTTTCTAAACTTAAAGTCAACCAAAGGATTCTTAATTGCAACCGATCATAAACTATAAATATTGTAGCTACTAGCCTTCTCGTTTGAGCATAAAGGGTCCTTAAAAACTGCATCTATTTTGCCTCAAATTAATTGCTTTAGATTTAAAAGCGTAAGTATATATATATATATATATATATATATTATAATTTGCTCAAACTTTGTAAGTATATACATTTAAACATTTTTTTAGATAACAATTCTGTTTCGATCTTTTGCAAGAAAATTTAATTTTTATTTATTCTTTTCTTTTTCATATTATTTCATGAAAAAGAAAAGAATAAATGATAGTGTGCAGCTTTATATGTAAATGTTGTATATATATATATATATATATATCTTCATAAAATGCAATATCATTGAAGCCCCACATGTCAATTGTAAGGCCCAATTTATGTTGCACTTTCAATTGTGGTCCCTTGGGAAAGTAATTTTGTCTTTGTCATGGTTGCTTTAGAGTTTCAAACTGTCTTTATTATAACGAATATTCTCCGCTCTTCACTTTACCTTCACACTTTTTGGAGCTGTGCCCTTAAAATCCCTTATTTTACTTTATCACAGTTCTTGAAAGACTCTTTGCACATATGAATAAATTTACATGTACTTTTCAGAACTTATACTGAAAATATTAATAATGAATAATAAATAATAAAAAACCAGATGTTTTTTCCAAAATAATGACAGGCTTGAATATTTTTTATAATCTAATTTAGACATTTTGAAGTGAGTATGGGTAAATCGTCATGTTCTTACCCAAATGGATGAATTGAATTGATAACACTCAAGATCGACCAATTTAGTGCAAATGATAAGTGATAAATATATCGTAGATGACTTGAAATTTGATGCAATATCAATTTTCACGTATTTCAACAAGATACTATATTATTCATTACCCCCTCCCCAATACACCCACACATATATATATATATATATATATTCTTATTTGCGTGACAGGCTTGTAAAAGAGAACAAGATTATTGTTAAACAACAGTTTATTGAAACTAACGTGTTCAGCATTCAAACAAGGAGCATAATCAGTCTATTTTGACGTTCTTGCACCAAAAAAATGCACTGCCGTACAGAGAAGCAAGTCAGGATGAAAAGCATATTCTTTTACATTTTGTGGACAAGAAGCAAGAAACAGGTTGGCTCTATTTCTTATCACCTATATTGTGAGTGGAAAGATGAACAATTCTTAGCGCATGGTGAAAAGTATCCGAACATTCTTTCTGAATGAGGGCAACACTCAAACAAAATGTCTCTACCCTGCAGAACACAAGCAATACTAAAAATCAGAAGATATCAGAATGTTCACATTCTGAACCCAGCAAAGCAGAGAGCCGGTCGTCGGATGTTGGTCAACAACTTGATCTTCATGGGTCACCAACCACGACGTGTGAAGAGACGTGGACCCATCCTTGACCGACTCGACAAAGCAAGGCAGCTTCTTCAGAATAAACTTCATCCATCATTGAATTGGAGTTCAAGTATCCGATGGTTTGAACGTATTCCTGCCAACAAGCTGCAGTTCATGTAAGACACAAGTTGGATTTTCAGGGAAATTCATGTCCCTCAGGGTGCCAAAGGCTCTCTGCCAGTGAGAAATAAAGCATCATGCATTGGATTTCATGCATTTATCAGATACATGCGTATCAGGCATCAGATACTCTTCAAAATCATCTAGTTTCTTACAGGTTGGAAGACTGAGGATTTCCAGGCCTGAGTAGGAACTTGTGCATATGCTCTCAGTCCTCAGAGTTCCCTGTGATCGACATCAGACAACTGATATATATATATATATATATATATATATATATATATATATATATATATAAATGTGTGTGTGTGTGTCCGAATCAGAACAACAAATCAGAATTTTGAAAAGAATAAGTAGTTCTGAAGGGAAAAAATTATACATAGTTTACAAAAAACCAGAATCGAGTGCGGCTTCCCATCCTCTGTTCAGAGAAAACCCAGTTCTGTATCAGCAGAAATTTACTAGATCCACTGTACACACTTTTTCACACCTAGAACTGAATGAATAACAGTCGAAATTCATATATGGACACAGCTGTCGTGACTCAGCTGCTTTGATGCATCGTTCCTGTGAAGGCATACAAGATATAGTATTCATGTACAAAAGGCTGACGAGATGTCTTCCTATCCTCACAATAACATCCAGACTCCAAAGTCATCACTTTCGCTAAAACAATTGTTGTGCTCCCTTGCCTGCTAAATAGCACAAAGTAATATACTTAAAACCAACACCCACACCAACAGAAACTACGTAAACATCGCCAAAAACCTAGAATAAATAATATTCTAAATCCTACAACTAAATCAGCATTCTGAACAATAAAAAACGACAAATGCACAATTTGTGCAACGATTCACTCTGCTACGGACAACTATTAAAGTCAAAAACTTTGAAATAAACCAAACAAAGATAAAAGGGTCCGCCTACGCTTACATGTGTTCTTGTAAAACACTCCGACGATTGCCAATGGCGACGAATAAATGCAACTCCTGTTCAGCTGTGTGACCAGACAAAACCATCGAAGATGCACACCACAGAGCAGAACGCTCTAAATAAATTTCCAGAAACGAATGAAAAAATCGCTGAACACCAAGACCGAACACGCCAATGTTTGAAACACCTCATCTGAACTCAACCACCTGGTAACACAAATTAAACCAAATTTATTCAACGCTGGAGAGTAGCCAAACCCGACTTCATGATTGGGTAACCTTGACGCCGTATCTGATCAACGCCACCACGCTATGACTTCCAAGAAAAAGCACCAAATTCAAACGCAATTAAACTCACAGCACCTTGAGCAACACTTCCATTAACACCACTTATCGCATCCTTCACCGCAATCACCGACACTCCGGATTAAACCACATCCACACTTGCAATGAAGGTCCCGGCCAAACCTCCCTCTCTCCGCTCGTCCGCAGCCACCAGACCGGCCCCCGCCACCCCCACATCTCCCGCTACCCCCCGTCCCGACGCGCAGTCCTCCTGCACCACTGACACTGCCTCCGACCCAACTTCACTCATGCTCGATGGTCCTACCCCACCCTCTTCTTCTCCTCCTCCACCCCCTTCCTCTCCTACCCCACCTCCCTCGCTACCCGCTCCCTCCCGCATCTCCGCATCGTCCACCACTGTCGACGTGCTGCTTTCCTCCTTCCCCACCGCTACACCCTCCGCCACCGACGACCCCCCTCCTGCCACCCCTTCCACCTCCAAACTCATGCCCTCGCCTGCACCCCTCTCCACCTCCGCTGCACCTCCCTCCCCTTCTCCCTCTCCCTCTCCAACACCATATCCGCCTCTAACTCCGTCTCCGTCGCCGTCTCCCACATCGCCCAACCCCGACGCTCCCACTGCCCCTTGCTCCAGCTCCTCCCCATGCCCATGCCCATGCTCATGCCCTGCCTCCTCCCCGACTCCTGCTCCTCCCTCCGCCCCCATTGTCTCCGCATCCGACATCCCCACGTGCCCACCCTCGTTGAACGACATCGCCGTGTCCGTCAGCACTGCTGCCTCCAATATCTCCTGCAGGTAGTCCGGCCTCCGACCGTCCGCCCCCACGCTCCCGCCCTCCATCCCCCCCTCGTCCGCCGCCACCAGCGCGTCGAACAACATGCTCGCCTCGTCCGCCACCCCCACGCCCCCGAACTCCATCTCCACTCCCTCCATCGCCTCCTCCTTCCCTTCCCCGCCCGCCTCGCGCTGCTGAATCGACTCCTCCACCGCATTCGCTATCGCCTCTG